ACGGTGCTGGCAACTTTGCCCCAGTTGATAGCCTCGCTGTTGGCAGGTACATCCCGCGCCATGAGCTCATCCTCGAAGGAGCGCGCAAGGATGGGGTCCTCGCGCTTGAGGAAGCCCAACACGGTCGTGGCAACTTTGCCCCAGTTGATAGCCTCGCTATTGGCAGGCACATCCCGCGCCATGAGCCCATCCTCGCGCTTGAGGAAGCCGAGTACGGTCTTCGCGACGCTGCCCCAGTTGATTGCCTCGCTGTTCGCAGAGGCGGCGGGGAGGACCATGGGCGTCTGAGCAGCGACTTCGCGAGCGAAGAGCTCGGTGTCCAGCTCCCGCCTGAAGAAGAAAGGCGCTATCTTCACCGCGGCGCCGGCAACGTCGAGCGCGTCATCGCCGACCTCCTTCCAGTTGATGGCTGCGCTACCATCAGCGGTCCTGGGAGCGAGAGTCAATTCCTTATCGTAGAAGCGGGGGTATTGAGAAACTTACGTAGCGACAGGCGCAGCAAGAGCAGGGGCCATAGAAGCGGCGGCGGCGAGGACGACGGGGATAGCGATGGTGGAACGCATCTTGATATTAGAGGTAGATAACTTCGTGGAACGTGAGAGATATGTCGTGAATTAGATGACAATGAGACGTAGTCGTTAAAATGGAGTTGAACGTGAGGTCGTTAGAGAAAGAATGCGAATAAGAAAAACAAGCAAGGCTAGATGGAGGAAGACACAAGTGAGCACTCATTATCGAGGCAGACGTTGATAAGGAAGGGCACTCACCAACCAGTACCTAGCTTGAGAAGTCTTGGGCTCTGAAAACGAAGGGGTGAGAGCTGGGGTACCAGCGAGGATCGGCCCTCCTTATATACGCCGCACGCCCTCGCTACGCCGTAAATAGCGTCCCAGCCTTGATGCGCGGCATTGCATCTCCATCTTTCGCCTCGTAGCGCTCACCCGGTGCAGGAACAGATGCACTGCCCGGTTGCTTCCCATCACGTCCATGTGATGGTTTCATCGTATCTTCCGACGCAAGATCGCGTGAATCGACAGCTTGACGGTGAGCAACGAGCACATCTGCCCGCTGTGCCGCGTTTTGATTCGTGTCACATGGCATACGACGGTCTTAGAAAATCATGACGAGCACGTCGACAGTACACTAGCGATGTCCTAACTTCGTAGTTTTCGAGCTGTTTCAGATCGACCATTGCCGGTCATCCCTGTAAGTGCATGAGACATTGCACCTGCGTATGAGACGTTTACGCCCAGCCTATCAAAGATCTGTGAAACACATGTGAGCACTCAACATCAGAGCATTGCATAGCGGCGAGATATCCGATGATGATGGAGATCAACGGTACAGCATACGGGCGCCATGGCTCGTGTTTTGATTGATGACAAGATGTCGACCGCCTCGACGCCGTGTATGGGACCGAGTAAAGGACTACATAGAATAAGGAAACGGAGGGGAAGCTGCGCATGCATCATACGTAGAATGAAATTCAGTCGTTACTGTCCGCGATGTCAGGATGTGGACGAAGTGCCCATCAATCATTTGATACTCCGATAAGCAGCGCCACAGGTTGCCGTGACGGCAACTGTTCCCCGCCGATGGCAACGACTAAATACTGCTCAGCGCCCATCGGTTCATCTATGTAGCACGCTACTTCAATTCATGCTACCTGTCCATCGGCAGATTGAAATTGCACAGCAGTCAGTCCATTGTTGTGTGTAAGTGGTTTTCATACAGTCCGAACTATTGTTACAACCGTGCTCGAGAGTAAGTAAACTTACACAAGGACATCTTCTTTCGTGTCCCTACATCGAGTCCACGAAAACTTCTGCCTGTCTGCGACGTGTGGCAAAACACTACATTCAGGGGCAAAACGCACCTCTCCTCCTTCATGCTCGCTTCTGTGCCTCCCTTTGAACATCTGCAGCGCTTGCTGCGACCTGCGATGCGCTCTCGCGCTTGGTCTCGTCCGCCTTCTTGCTTCCCCATCCGACCCAGCTGCCGAGCCACGCGCCCCAACTCTGCGTTTTCTCTTCCGCCTTACGCTTCGCCTCCTCCAATGATGCCTTCGCGCGTGCTTCAGCATCCTCCACTTGGTGAACAGCAGCATTGTACGTGCTTGCAGCGGACGTCCTCGCTGCATCGTACTGGTTCTCGACTGCTGTCTTCGTGCCACTCACGCTCGATTCTGCGCTTGCACGTGCATCAGAAAGCTTCTCCTTTCCCGAAGCCTGATGTATCGGTTCACATCAGTATGCATCGCAGTCTATGAAGCAAAGCGATAACGGACCTTGTACTGCTCGTAGCCCTCCTGGCCTTCCCGGACCACGTCATTGGCAGCACGCTTGCCCGCCTCAGCAAGTTCCTCCGCCTTTGCTACTGCCTTATCCTGATCAGCCTTCCGCTTCGCACGGATATCTCCTCCCTGCTGCGTGTAGTACCATGCGCCCACACCGACTGCGCTGGCACCGAGCCATACGAGCAATGCGTTGCTCAAGGTGGACTTGTCCGTCGGGATCGGCGAATCCGTTGGATGCGTAGGGTCGGGGTTAGTCGCATACGTGCGTGCTCGCTATCATTACCGGTCGAATTGTCAGTCTCTCTATCGGCAGGTGCATCCACAGCCACTTGCCGAGTATGCTGCCCGCGCGACGAACGGCGTGGCACGAGACGACGTAGCAAAAGAGCGGGCGGCCTGTGCGCGCAGCATGGTCGTGGACATGATGATCGTCGTCGTGAGGAGAGTGGCGGTCAGCGCAGAGAGTGAGGGGCTGCGATGTGAATGGAAGCGTGCTCAGGTGCCTCGCCTTCGGCCCCCGATGACGACACACGCTGACGTCACCTGTGCTCGTATACACGGTCACGTGGGGGTGTTTTCCGCTGGCGCTCGACTATGATGGGAATGGGATGCCGTACGTGCAGTCTGTAGTGCGCCCATTCTACATCATCATTGAAAGCCGAGTCTAAAAGGACTCGCTATCATTGGGTGCAACGGAGAGAATATCAGAAGATTTGTCACAATGCGGACCAAGTTTTATGAGAACCCACTTTGCACACCCACCGCACTTAGATTATTAAATGGCATGTCTTCTACCTACCCCTCTAGCCTAATGGCTGCAACTGGGTTCAATGTTTTAACATTACACTTGTTCAGTTGTTTATTTCCCCCATGATGTTTCCTATGCACCCCGGTTCGATTCTCAATGAGGCATGATTATGTGGGACAATCAATATTCAGGTAAGTTTCATCAATATCCCAAATTCAAATGTTACTAACACTTGAGATTTTTGCTCCTACTAGCAGAACATGATTAGTGTCGTTATGATATGAAGTTTGCGACCGCGTCGCAATTGCAGAAGGCAGTGGGGGTGCTGGTCGCAAGCTGAAGTGCTGAACATGTTCACGTGGTCGCGTCACGCGCGCTTAACGGCCACAATGCGGCCTGCTCACCTTTGCCCACCCGGTCAGCTTCAAGTGGATCAAAGCGCGCACTGCCCCGACGCTGCACCTCCACGAAGACAGATTCTTTCCGCGTGTGAGCAGTACAGTACACTGCATCATACACGCTATATACACTGACCCGCGAGGACCGACAAGTTGCGAACGCGGGAGTGGCCAGTCCTAGTCAGCAGCCAGCACACGAGCAACGGACTGCATCATTACGCGACGACGACAAGACGCAGCCACTACTGATCAACCGCTTACTCTGGAGCTATCTCAACTACGACCTCGACGATTTGGCAGACACGCTCGTGTCCAAGACGACCTTTCCCCACATCCAATCCACAGTACGCTCGCTACGATTACTACGTCTGCCAAATCAAGGCAGTTTAGTTGAACTACACGGCTGCCCACACGAATCTGTAGCAAGCCATCAGGCGAGCACCACCGGCCAAGGCCACGCCTGGATCCTACCCACGGCAACGGTCCCACAGTTGATCACTCGCTTTGCCATTCCGCAATCGCTCTGCTGAGAAGACACACGAGTCTTTTGCCACAGCATCTCTGTGATTTCCAAGAGTCCCAAAAACGAAAACTAGACCTTCCGCCTGTTATCCCGTACACAGACTTACAGCTCATCGGGCCAAGCCGCGCAAGTCATCCACATATCGAGTGCGGTGCCCGAGGACAAATGTACACTACTCTATCGGTAGCAAACGGTTCGCCATACCAGCATGATCCTAGATACCCTTCTCATCTCATTCTCAGATGTCATTGGCCACTCTGAACGCGGATGTCCTCACCGAGATTGTCTCGCTCCTCTCAACCAAAGAGGCTTTCCGGCTGTCCCTCACGAACAAGCAGGTCAATACCGTTGCTATGCAGCGGGTTTACCGCATTATCGATCTGAAATGGCCTCGACACGTCAAGCAAATGTGTAGAGTGCTCCTGCAAGAACCTGCGAAACGCTTAGTTTTCGTGCGCGAGCTGCGAATTAGCTCTATTGCTCTCGAGGGTGCAAACAATGCCACTGTCGCTCGAATTGTGGAACTGCTGTCGCATCCATTCTCAGCGCACATCCAGCGCTTGACGCTGGGCTGTATTGAGCGGCTTTTGGAGGAGCATCCATCATGCGCTGATGCTGTGGCAGCACTCCCCGCTTTGACCCAACTTGAACTGGGGGATGCATATGAGAGTTCCCTGGCAATGATCGAGAGGTTGACCTCGAAGCCTCGTAGACTAGCTTTGCAATTCGACCTACCTTTCCTTGAAGGGGATTCTATCCCTACTCTCTTCTCCGAAGCCTCGGGGACTCCCACTGAAATTTCCGAGTCATCAACGACATCACACGAGATGACTATGCATCACCCCCTTCCGGATCCACGTTTGCAGTGGTTTTCTCTGCATCATCTTTTTCTCAAGAAGTGCAATCTGCCTATGTCAGTGTTCGTCCTCGCGTTCCCGAACGTGAAGAGAATTTGTTTGCGTCAAGTCACTTCCAGTCTGCCCTCAAAAAACAATGGCGTATGCTGGCCACGCCTGGACTGCCTCGACATGGGAGATGTTACATATAGACATCCCTGGAAAGTGACATGCCCGGTCCGACACCTGGTTCTGGGTATCAGCCGAGCAGTCGGATCACCAAAGTCTGCTCTGTCCCTTGTGAAAATGACCATGCCCATTGTGCTTGAGTTGGAGACAAGCCTGAAGTTGAGTACGAGGTTTTGGGACAAGCTGGCGAGGGTCGGGAAGAGATTGAGGTATCTGATCATTGTTCTCAAGAAGGCCGACACTGTATCCTCCTCGGGTGACTATGCACAAAACCTCAACCATTGGAAGGTCGGGTCCTTCCAATATTTGCTGTGCGTTGATCACTGACGAATGAGGCATAGTCACAATTGCCTGCCTTCATGTCTAAACTAAACGTCAGCTGCATCCGGATATGCTACCCATCGTCACTTCCTGTCGCTCAAGACATTCTTGAAGATGTGCCACAAATACTAATGCGTTCAATTCCGTCTTTGTGTTATGTTGCGTTGGACCGCCATCATTCGTCAGAACGTAGCATCTGGTATGAAGGTCAATATGATGGCTATCAGTCTGAAAGCACATGGTGGCGCATCACCAGAATTGGGACTCGGGACTGGGAGGGACTCGCGAGAATGACGACCGAGCTAGGTGAAAAAATAGATGCCCATATGAAGTCTGATGAAGTTGAGTCTTCCCTACCTTGTTAGATCAGTTTATATTGGAACGAAGCGCGTCTCCCTATACTCTGCTGTGCTCGAGGTTATATTGATGCATTATGCACACATCTCCGCGTTGTAGTACTATATCTGTCTCAAAACTGTGGCCCAAAGATCACGATAATCCCATCAGAATTACCGACTACCAGTAGCTGAAATGCATCGCATGATCAACCACGACTTGCCATCGACTCGAGCTACTTGTCGACATCTCGGTTTATCATCAATTTGGGAGATATGGTTCCGAGAGATAGCACTCGCAGGACTCGCGATCGATGACGTCCGAGTCCTGTCCATTGACCAACTTCCTCTTCTACGTCAACGCAAACATTATCGTCTCAACAAAGTTCCCTAATGCACTTGTCATTTACGGCCGTCTCGGATTCCTTGCACCTCTTCTCCATCACGATGATGTCGCCTACAATGACGCTGGAGTCCATCCCTTCTGCTGTATGCCCTACCGCACCGTTCCCGCTCGCGCTTGAATGGACGCTCGGCATCATTCCTTGCACCCTCAGATGCGGACCTCTGTTCCGCACTACGCTCGTCTGCGTGTACGCGTGCGGTCCGAAAATGTCTTCTTGCCTCTTCCACGCGCCCGAACCGCTTCCCGCATGGGTTCTGTGCGAGGCAACGGAAGGGCTGCTTACCATCCGCCTTCCCACTCTCCTTGTCTTCCTTTTTAGCCTTGAGCGCCGAATTTCCTGCTGCGGCGTCGACTTGCGTAACCGGTATTCGATCCTCCCAAGGGCATTTCGCCCACTGAGACCGCTCGCTTGCGCTATTGCTTGACGGAACAGACAGCTGCGAGCTCTCGGGTACCACGTTCACCATCGTCTCCGCAACAAACGCAGGTGTCCACAACGGACCGTCGTCCAGTGCTGGGTCAACGGGAATGGTTTGCCTCATGCCGAGGCCGGTGGGAATGCTGCCATTCACTGTCTCCGGAGCCAATTGCGTGACAGTGTTCGGCACGTTCGAGTGCCCGTCCTCATACGGCTCTACGTTCTGATTGGAAGTTGCGATAATATCCTCTGCGCCGTACTGCATGGGTCCGAGGTTGAATCCCGCCTCGGAATAGACAGAGGGAGAGGTTGCATAATGCTGCCACCAAGCTCCAGAATCGCTGCGATTATTGCAAGTAGATATATCTGCTCCCGGATGACCGGCGAGCAAGCTGCGCTCCGGATCCTGGAAGAAGGATTCTCTATCTGGGGAATACGGAAAGCTAGAGCTCGAGAGAGGGGATAATAATCCTCGTAAAGCCTCGATTTCTTCGACCCCAAGACAATACGAGGCGTCTGTGGTGACAACGCTCTCGATGGAGTTCCCAGTGCATCCGAAGGCAAGCGTACTACTCGCGCAGACATCGGACAGTGTCGGCGAATGGCGCGGTGGGGCAAGGGAAACTGGTAATAAAGATGGGTAATTCAAGGCGCCATACGACGTCGAGGACGTCGACTTGTGTGCATTATACGGTACTCGTGGGCTGAATATGCCATCAACCGAGTCATCTATCGTCGGTATATCGACACCGTACGGCGGACAGTACCCAGCCAGATATTGACTTGAAGACCCATAGGCGCGGGGGAACCGCGATGAGTTGGCGAAAGGCGATGCCTGCATATTCCACGCCTCACGTTGTGTGGCGAATACAAGACTGCTTGAAGCTGAGGACGCTCGGCATCTGGGGTCATCTTGCTGCAAGGCGCCTCTCCACGGGTAGCTCCCATATTCCTGTTCGGAACGGTTGGAACCAACATGCTCATCGACATTCGTTAGCGTAGTCGATAGCCTATCTGTAAGCTAAGTCAAATAGTGTTTAATTTTCATTCTCAAAAACTTCGAAGGTGCATTTCTTGCATACTCACGGGTTCAAGCAAAATACCATCAGCAAGGGAGGTAGTCTCCGTGAGCGTAAGACCATGGTAGGTAGTTGCATTTTCGAGAGCATCCACAATACTGGGGTATTGGTATTGCATGGCCTGATCCAGCCTCGTCTGTTTTGAATGCTAACAGTGAAGGATGTGTGGCGAGCTCGGTTTTTATGCCATGGCCCTAAATGTGTTTGTGCGTCCTGTCGGAGGAGATATCGGATCGAGCAAAGGAACATTGCACATATAGTACCTAGGGTCACAGATAGCACACGAGACATGAAGCAAGCTGAAGGAGGAACAAGTTTTGACTCGGCGAGAATGAGCCTCACGAAGCTTGAGCCACCTGTTCTTTGTCCCGAAGGGAAGACGGGGCTCGAGAACCGTCACGGAAAACGGTTGCGGGAATCGCGCGTGAGATCCGTGGGAATCCGCGCGATGAACTGGAAGTTCGGAATCAAAGTTCGTGCTTCTGAAGATGACACCTCCGCCTGTAACCGGCTTTACAGTGTCCAAACCTTCGTCAATATCTACGTACACAACGGCCGAGACAGTTCAACGAACCTCAACTTCGCCACGCATACTCGCACGCCGAATGCGCGTCGGGTGCTTATACTCACTAGTTGAAGGGGATCCGACTTGACCGGTGGAGGCCGCTTAGAATCATTCCGACTTGACGGGTGGAGACTGCTTCACTTAGTTTCGATTTCAGATGGTGGTGAACGTTCGGCGACTCGACGGTAGCGACAGCGGGCCCGTAGAGAGATTTGTGTGGAAATCGGTTGGTTCGAGCCATGTAGCCCCTTAAGGTAACCAGGAGAGATCGCGATGCGAGAGATAGCGGAATGGCTTGCCAATGGCCAACGTCCCCGCAGTCTCGTATTACAACCTCCTCCGCCGGATTGACCGTCCGGCGTAAACATGCACCCTGCCCTGATGACCGCAGTGGCTC